TTATGTGCCGTCGAGTCAAACCCGACTCATAGCGACCCCTCCTTGGGTTTCCAAGGCAGTATCACTATGGAAGTAGGATTGCCCAACCTTCCTTCTGGATGGACTGAATGTCTAAAAGTATCTTACAGGTACTTTCATCTTAAAGCATCTGAGCAAGTATGGTTGCAACATTCAATATTTCAAACTGTACTCTATCATTATTAAATTCAGAACTACAATGTTTTCCTGCAGTTGTAGTTTATTGTTATCGTAATCCATTTTCTCAAAGACCATTCAACACATTTATACTATTCCAGTAATTACCATGCTACCCAGAAAAAACAAGTGAACAGTTTATTAAGAATTAAATGAGGGTATGGAATGTGGTACGGTACAAGTAAGACACTCAAAATGGGCATAATCATACTATCACACAAAAAGTTAAGTTTCACTTAAAAAAAACCCACGCAAGACCAAAAACAAACAAACAAAAAAAAACATTCCATCACTATAATGTATTTCATGCAAAGTACTAAAAAAGCCCCCCAAAACCCCAAATTCCCAACAAACAAAAAGCTATCTGAAAATATTTCCATGCTAACATATTAACCACAATATAATCATTCATAGAAAAAGAACACACTAATTAAGCAGTAGATTAGATGAAACAACACAAACAGCAATATCATAGACACATATCATAATGATTTTGTATGACAAGCAATTCCAGAATCACTCAAAGGGTGAGTACTATGGGCTAAATGTTGAGATAAGGTATGTAAATATAAACCCCAATAACTCATCTCATTGTCTATTAATTATAAAATCTGGAAGCCTACAGAATGTGAAAAATTATATAAAATTTGGCATACTCCATTTGTGTTCCAAGAAATGACTTTAGAATTGTATCTGCAATTACTAGGTAACTGTATAAAAGCAACTCAAGGTCAGGATTTGACCTCTTAAATAATGATCACAATCTGTATCATAAAAACAACTCCAGATACACATTTACTTGATTAATTCTTACTCAGGACAAGAAACATGATTTTCCAGCACTCTATGTACAAGTTACCTCAAAGGGCAAGTTAATTTAGAGATGGAATAAAATGTCAAACACAGGTGAATCAGTACAGGGAATGAAGGGGGATGTCTTCATTTACAAAGACTTTCATAGGTAAAGATCCTTCCTTGACTTCTGAGGGAGCTAGAGTCAACAAATAAAACAGACTGCTAAGGTGTAATGCATAGCTTGATACCAAAATACTTTTGTATACTTCCTGGGGAGGCGGGGAGAGTCAAAAAGGAGTTTTACTTTGGGAAACAGTCAGGAATGGCATTTTATGGGACAGCACTCCCTTCCACAGCTGCCACACTGAACACAAGGTTGGTCACCATGAGGTGCACAACTGAGAGTGGGGCACCAACAGGGCACAGTGTGCTGGCGGGCACCCAGGGGCAGGAAGAGCAGTCTCACTGCACTGGCCCGTCCAGGAGGCCAGCAGAGAACTAGAACGCCTATGTCTTATGGTTGTGGACCGAGTTTAGCCATGGTGTAGGGACCGGCTATAAATACAGTAAGGCCAAGAAAAAGGAACAGGAAACATTCTAGGACAGAACACTACCCACTCCCACTCGCTTTGGGTTGTTTTCTCCTTCCTTCTCTTTCCTTTAGACTTAACGTAAACAGAACAGATTGGGAAATTACCAGGAATACCCTTCCAGCCTCTGAAACTTAACTTCCTATTTACATTCCATGAAAAGAATACTATAATTGTACAATGGCAGGATTTAGCCTCTCTAAAATATAGGAACACAATGACAGTAGAAAAATTTCCAACATTAAATTAAGCCCAGAGTTTGAGGTCAGTTAAGTGGCTTCTTGGCAATCAAGATCTATCAGAGTTCTTTGGAATGTGTGTCTTACATATAAAAAGATACCACAAATTAAATCCCCAGCACATTCATGAAACAAGTGTTTAAGTGGGAGAGATTTCTAATAAGACACAAATGCTTCCATCAGTAAATTGTATCTGATTAGTCAATCTTTCCCAACTAAGTTTCTGCTAACAACTCAACACAGCCTCTGGAATCAAATGTAATGATCACTCAATCATGATGGTGCAAGATAAAGTACAGATGAGCAATACATATGAAAAAGTTTTGTAAATAGCTGCAGCTCTAAAACAGTACATGTATATTACAAAGCAATGTAAATAAATATTGGGCTAGTACAAAAGCTCTTATTTACAGTTTTACAAATGAAATTGTATTCAGTGTAAATGCTGTGTTTTAAAGAACACAGTACTGTATTAGTAAAATGAGTTCTGTTGAGAGCATTACAGTTTCTGTTAAATCAATGCATAACGTATAAAAGGTTCAAGTTAACGTTATCATTCAGGACAGACAAACCCAGTTTAACCTGGAATGGCATCTGTTAAAGTGCTGAAAATCAGGAACTATTTAGAAAACACTGTACATTATTAAAGCTTTATCAAGTCAGAATGTTAAACTTCTTTCACATTTTTTAATCCTTCTGCTGCAGGTCTGTGGACAAGATGATTTTTTTTTCAGCAAAGGAGTAAAACCAGTAGAAAACCACCAGCTACTTAGATGATTTTAGGTTCAGTGGAGTTAGTTTCCTAAAACAAGTATTTATCCATCAACCATACCTTCAGGCCTCATAATCTGGTACGTAATTAAATATTCAGGATAAGCCTGAAAGAGAAAGAACAATGCAAATACTGGTAAACAGATTTTTCGAAAGACAAGACAACCTTCCATGAGGATTCCTAATCTTTAGAGAAACCCCGTACAATCAACTTGGTTCCAACTCACAGCCACCCTATAGGACAGAGTAGAACTGCCCCAGAGGATTTCCAAGGCTGTATGTAAATCTTTTTTTAAATTGTGATTTGGGTGGAAATTTACAAAGCAAATTCACTTTCCATAGAGCAGTTTACATATACTTTGTTTCATGACATTGACTACAATTTCCCACAATGCAACAGCTCCCCCATACCTCCTCCCATAGTTACCTCTTCCCTGTATCCTTCCCTCCATGCACTCCTGCCCCCTGAGCTGTCTCCCTGTGCATAACAGCCCTTCTTTCTCCCATGACTGTTCTCTCCAAGGGGTGTATCTACCTCAGGTAAGTATTCAACTCAAATGCTTGTCTTTTGTTTGGCTGGAAGCCACAGGTGTGGGTTCAATTCCAGACCCAAATGGCAGCTAGGGACCATAGTCTCAGTGGTTCCACCAGGCTCTATTGGACCAGCAAACCTGGTCCCCCCCCCTTTTTTCCGCAAGCGATTCTGAGTTTTGTTCCACATTGTTCTCCCTCTCTATCCAGGGTCTCTTACATAGATCCCCCTCAGAGTGGTTGACAGTGGTGGCCAGGCACCATCTAGTTCTTCTGGTCTCATAGTTGCATAGGCTGAGGATCGCATGGTGTACCAGTTGCTAGGACTAACTGTTTCCATGAATCTTTGGTTTTCTTCATTCTTCTTTGCTCTGTATGAGGAGAGACCCATTGTTGCATCTAGATGGTTGCTTGCTAGCTTTTAAGATCCCAGTAGCTACTCTCCAAAGTAGGAGGTGGAACAATGTTTTGTGTAGTATGTTATGCCAATTAAGCTTGATGTCCCTTGCGACTATGGTCCCGAGCCCACAGGTTTAACTACTCAGTCCCTCTGGGTAGCTGGCTGTGACCAAGAAGAGATGACAACCCTTGTCACCAAGGCTGTAAATCTTTATGGAAACAGACTGCCTCATCTTCCTCCTGCAGAGTGGCTGATGGTTTTAAACCATCAACCTTCTGGTTAGCAGCCCAATGTTTTAATCACAGAGCCACTAGAGTTCCTTATCTTTAGGGAAAACCAAACTCACTGCCATTGAGTCGAGTCTGACTCATAGCGACCCTCTCTGAGTTTCCAAAGTGGTAAATTTTTATGAAGTAGACTGCCTAGTCTTCCTTCTGCAGAGTAACTGGTGGGTTTAAGCCGCCAACCTTCTGGTTAGCAGTCAAATGACTTAGGCACTATGCCACTAGAGTGCCTATCTTTAGGGAAGAAGTTCTAAATTAATATTGTGGATCAAAGTCACTGAGGGGCAGCATTTTTTCTAAACATCCTTACTTTGACTCTAATCCCTTAGATTTGGAATCAGCAAATCTAGGATGAGTACTAAGTATGTACCTGTTTTTAATAACTGGAGAGCAAGAGATAATTATACATTATTTATTAACTATTAAATACAGAATTCTGATCAATTATATTTTATAGAAGTTAAAAAAGATCTAGTACAACTGGCAAAACTTAAGTAAGGTCTGTACATTAAATAAAACAGTCAATCAAAGGTATTCCTCTGATTTTGATAATTTAACAGAATGCCCTCGGGGACATGGCTGCAATCTTTTCTCAAATAGCTCAGAAAAAAATAATATGTACACAATACACACACACACACACACACACACAGAGGAAGAGAATAAAAGGTTAACATTTGGGAAATGTGGGTGAAGATTATAAGAGAATTCTCTTTACTTACTTTGTAACTCTTCTGTAAGACTAACATTATTTCCAAAAAAAAAAAAACAAACAAAAAAGGAATATGGTTCTTAAAACAATAAAGGTAATAGATTAAAGAATGGCTGTGAAGCATTTCTTGAAAATTAACAAAAAAGCAAAATTACCTGTTCTCCTCTGTAAATAACATATTCAGCTAATGCTAGGCCATTTACACTGGGCCGACCAGTGACTGAGTGATGACCTGGAGGAGAATGTGCCATTTTCATTGCGCTGAACTGCAGGAAAGATTTTCCCAAGGTTACTCGGCAGAACAGCAGCTGTCTGTAACATGAAAGAACACCTTGACGGTAGAGCTGGGTATGACAATTTCTATATGCGTATACTGCATAAGCTTTTAAATGTGTTTTTTATGCATGAACACTTAGGATTGCTTTCATCATTTCATCCTGAAAGTAATTAGGTAAGAATTTCTTCTATTCTTATTAACAAAAGAATCTATCAGTTTAATTAATCCTTATTTTAACTATAAAACCTGAAAACAGTTATTGAAACTTATCTTGTCTATATCCCATCAAATCCCAAATCATTACGTACTAACTGGGTGAGAGTTAGGGGTTAAAGGGACTTCCACGAGGTGGCTCCAACAATTTTCATCTGAACCTGTAACAATCGTCTCCTACCTAGTCTTCCTGTTTCTACTCTACCTCCCATTCAATCCAAGCAACCAGTCATTTTTAAAAGAAAACATCAGGTCATGTCACTTTTCTCCTTCAGAGGCTGCAAACTGCTATAACTCACTGCCATTGAGTTGATTCCGACTCACAGTGACCTCCACTGGGTTTCTGAGGCTGTAAATCTTTATGGACGTCAATCACCCCATCTTCCTTCTCTGGAATGGCTGGTAGGTTTGAACCGCTGACCTTCTAGTTAGCAGGCAAATTACTTATCCACTATGCCATCAGAGCTCCTTGCATACTACTATACTAAGAATAAAATTAAAATTTCTTACAATACCCCATTTTTCTAATCTCATTTTGTGTTCATTATGCTCTAGGCCTATTAATTTTGGTCAAACTTCTCATCTCATGGCCTCCATATATACAATTTCCTCTACCATTGGGAATGTTAGCTATCCCACCACTCTTAAACAGGCTGACTACCAATTATTTTTCAGGTTTCAGCTGACATATTACTTCCTTAAACAGATCTTCTTTTACCATCAATCTCAATCGATTACTCCCTGTGGGCCTATGACTAGCTGTCCTTAGCTCTAATTAAACATTATATAATTATAGGTAGTCCCTGACTTACAACTTATTTGAGTTACAATGAACTGCACTTAAGATCACCTGGTGAGTTGGTTTTCCCCCACATGTTACTGTTAGTAATACTACTACATACAATGTTGCAGCACATAATTGGCTGGTATTACCATTCTCAGATGTTCACTTGCAGATGTTCAGAGATTGGATTTATAAAGATACTGATAATGAAAGCCTGTAATAGTGAGAACTAAAAACAAAAGTATTCAACTTACGCCAGAACCCACTTAAAATGGGGTCGTCGGGATAGAATCCCATTGTAAACTGGGGCTACCTGTACTTCATTATTTCTCAATCTCTTTTTATTCTTATTTTCAAGACAAGAACAGCAAATTTTGGTGGACCAGTTGATGGTTCTGTTCTCCAAATTAGAGAGGCTATATGCTTTTTTTTTTTTTAATCCTTTGGAAATCACTTTGGCATTTCTAGTAGATTTTCTATTATATTCACAATCAGTCCCTTGATAATCTAGATTATAAAATAGTTTTAGGTTAAAATTATCTCCAAAGAACCAAACATTCTGGCTCAAAGACAGTTTAAAGGAGGCATCTGAACATTGCTTATTGCTCATTATCAGAATTATTTACCCTTCAGGAGACATATGGTAAGTAAAAACAGCAGTGTTTAATTTACAGAATCTCAAGAAATTACAAGATTTCTCACCAGTCCAACTGGTGATGTAAACTAATAGCAGTGAGAGGGCAGGTCCAGGAGCACTACTGTGGAACACACTCAAGTCTAAATTTAGAGGAAGAAAACCAACAAGAAGAGCAAAACCAGACGGCTCTGCTTCTCTCCAGGCCTGCAGTTCTTAATCGTGGCAGACTAGAAATCAGCAGGAAAGCATTTAAAAAGTCTAATGCCCAGATTTCTGAGATCCTAGACCAAATAAATGAAAATCTCTGTGAACTCAGGCATCAGTGTTTTTTTTTTTTTTTTTCCTAACTCCCCAACTGATTCCAATGTACAGCCAAGACTGAGAACTACTGCTCTAGGGCTTTAGTGACCAGTATCATCAGCAATTCCAAGGAAAACTTCAAGGAAAAATTCAAGTTCTTGGGCCCCATCTCAAACCTACTAAATGAGAAACACAGGAAGTAGTGTTTTTGCAATCTGTATTTCAACAAGCCCTTTATGTGATTCTTATGTTTGCTAATGTTATTTGAATAGTTTTAACAACTGAGTTAGACAAGGAACTAAGAGTGGAAAAAAAGAATAGTGCCAAGTAATTGATAATTATGTACTTTCTAAAGGGATCGATGTATTTTAGTTACGATCTCAGAGTAACAATATCACAAACTGAAGCTAGGAGCTTATCACAGTGGAAGAGACACTCCCTCAGTTACTGCCATAAAATGGTTAGGCTCATCACTGTGGGGTCTGCAGGGATGGCAAGTAATGCATGTGAGCATTTGAATACTAGATTTTTTTGAGACCTACAATATTTAAGTGCTACAAAAAAATCTTTTATGATCAGTGTATTTTCTATTCAGTATTCTTTAAAATACCAGGTGTTCTAATGATTGAAGGAGTGAGATAGATTAAATACTTAGAACTGTCCTTGGGTCATAGCCATCACTTAATAAACACTAGCTATTATGATAACCAGTGAGAGCGTGCCAAAAGCAACCTAAAATACACCTAGCCTGGGTTCCCAACATTGTCCAGCTTAGACCACTTCTCAAATATCTAACCGTTCTTATCTGATTTTTTTACCAAAGTATGTTAGAACAAATGATTTCTTACCTGTGGCAAACGTAACAAGATCTGTCTTTGTGAACTGGACAGCCAGTACCTCCTCCAATCCCATACACATACTGATTGCTTTTGGAAGAGTTTTCAGCAAAATAAATCCCAGCTCCAAACATTCCACCTATGTAGGCATGTCTTTCATCGAAGCCTTTATGAATGATTGCATTCACAAAGGGAGATCCTAAAATACATATGGATGGGTAACAACAATTTAAAATTTATTTTAATAATTAAAGCCTTTCAGGAGTTAAATTCTTAAACATACATACCAACACCATACAAAGTGAAAACAAAAAACAAGGGTAACAACTGCCAGCCAGTTCATGACTTTAGAATAAAGAATACTGCATCAATTAGTGTTTCTAATGGGGTTGAGATTCAACTGGAAAAAATAGATGACTTGAAATAACAAGCTAGAATTATCCAATTCCAGACCCTTAATCTATACAAATCCAGAACCAAGAGTATTATAATTCACTTCATATAGCAAGGCTGAATGCAATTCAGCCTTACAATGATGCCCATGGAGCCTCCTCATGGTCTTATTCTCCTCCTGCTACTTCTCTTCCTTTCCCTGCTTGCTATACCAGATTCCATCTGTAAATGTGTGCTTTCCCTCATTCCTTACATATCAACTTCTTTCCCCTCCTTCCCTGCATGTGCGCCAAGAAGAGGAACTTAGCCAAAGAGGAGGTATTGAGCTTGGGAACCAGGCCAGGGAGTGGGGTTACGGTGGGGGCCAAAATAACAACACTGCTAATTGTTCAAAAAGGGACAAAAAATACACTGAACTGCACTTTACAGAACAACTGATGGATAGAATCACTTCTTTAATTTGGAAAAAACCAAAACAATTTATATTATAAAACAGAAAAGTCATTCATTATAACCACAAAATCAATGCATAGTAAGTACATATTACATGCCTACTATGCTCTCTGCCAAGAGATTATCATGATGGGTTCTGGAATGAGAAATACTGGTTCAAACCCACCAGCCACTCCTCGGAAGGAAGATGGGATCTACTTCCATAGTGATACTGCCTCAGAAACCCAAGGAGGGGTCGCTGTGAGTCGGGTCTGACTCGACGGCACATAACAACGACAACTTAGATACTCAATCAACTCAGTAACTCACTCCCATGGAGTTGATTCAATTCATAGTGATCCCTCCCTGGATTTCCGAGGTGGTATCTCTACGGAAGTAGATTACCCAACCTTCCTTTGAGGAGTGGTTGGTGGGTTTGAACCGCCAGCCTTCTGGTTAGCAGTCAAAGGCCTTAGGCACTACACCACCAGAGGTCCCACTCAGATACCAGCATGTGTTTATACTGCCATAACCATCCTTCCAGGGAATTGTGAAATTTAAATGCTGTGTTTTGTAGAATTTTGTATGTGAGTGCCATCATGTTAATTCTGATTCACAGTGACTCCACAGTACAGTACAGAACTATGCCATAGGGTTTCCTAGGCTGAAATCTTTATGGTAGCAGATCCACACGTCTTTTCTCCTGTGGAGTGGGTGGTGGTTTGAAATGCCCAACCTTTTGGGTTATCAGCCAAGTGCTTAACCATTGCACCACCAGGGCTCCTTCATTGAACTTTACAGGTCTCCAAAAATGTTCTACAATCATGGCCATCTGAAGGAACTGACTAGAATTACTATGGGTAATGTGCTTGAAAACTTGATAAACAAAATATTAAGATACTACGTTAATAACTATATTCATATTTGTCATTATCTTGAAAGACCAATCAAAACCTGCCAGCTTGTGAAACAAAAAACCAGAAAATTTCAAAAATAGTCTTCTTCATTCAACAAAAGTTATCAGAAACATCCACAGGTTCAATGACAATGGCACTTTTAACATCGAAGTTAACTGTGGTTTTGACGCTTCAAATCAAAATCAGAACAGGATGCATAAGCTCCCCCTAGATGACTTTTGAGGTCTTACTTCAATTCAGTTGACTAGGGAAGAGTAAAACACAGCATTTCTTGGCCAGATCATAATAAGCAAAATCTACTACATAAAGAAAAAAGGAACATGAAAATGAGTCAACACTCATTTTCATAATGTGAATCATACTTAAAATCATCCATTATACAATAAAAATCCAAAAGAAGTTGAAGATGTGAATATGAATGTAAATTATTAACTTTATTTTTTAAATGATATCAGGAATAGGCAAGTATTTATTATTTCATAATTGACAAAAAGCTATGCTAATATGGAGGAGGATACTGAGAGAGGGGAATCTTACCATGAAATAGCATTCTTTCATTTGCATGGTTATGGTTTTCTTCAGAAACCTCTTTTCTTCTGTGAGTGTATCTTTCCCACAGTTTCTTGTTGCAAACCTTTTGAATCTATAAAATATAAACCAGAAAAGTCTAATCTTTAAATACTTACTTACTTGTTCACTCGAACCTCTGGTGATATAATAGCCAAGACATTTGACTGGTAACCAGAAGGTTGGTGGTTCAAACCTATCAGCCACTCCATGGAAAGAAGACTGGGCATTCTACTTCTGTAAAGATTTAATGCCTCAGAAACCCAAAGGGGATTGCTATGAGTTGGCAGCTGAGGTTTTTTTTTTTTTTTTTTT